AATAAGTTTCCCAAAATCGAATAAGCGTCACGCAATCGATTCAAGGAAAAATAAATGGCTATAAACACAACAGATTGAAATGGCAAGACATAACAACACAGCCATGAAACTGAGTTGGAAAACAAACACTCACCAAACGATTACAACTTAACACATTTGTATGAAATCATGAATTAAAAGAAAATACAGCCGCACAATGAATCGTTCTGAATTTTAAAATGGATTTGCAGGAAAGTTAAAACAAAATGACAGTTCGTAAAATTGATCGCTCATGATATCTAATCTTATGGCATACTCGGAACAACATTTGAAATCTACAATACCAATTAGTCACAACAAAAGCAATACCAATAATCAACTGCAATGGCAAGCTACTCCAAACAGCTAAATAATATCATCATTTTGATGCATAAAAAAGAAAAGAAACAATTATCTTACGTTAACCCCAAATAAAATTCAAGACACAAGATTCACGATTGGAAATCCCAAAGCAAAATAAACAAAACAATTCTCAGTTAAAAGAAAACAACCAAGATTAGAGGCGGCTTGTTGAGCTTGAAATCGGAAGCCCTGTGTCGACGAGCTGTCCTTGCCGTGGTTGCAGAGCTATGGATGTAGACGTCGTTAAATCAAATCTACGACGGTCTCGAAACAGGACCGCTAAGTTGCCATCACTATCGTTTCTGAATCGAAACATCGCGAGAAGAGAAGATGCCATACTGTTGTTGAGGAACTTGCGTCATGTTGTGTCGAATCTTCAAATGAGATGTGGTTTCGTCATGGTTTAAGCTTTAAAAAAAGGAATGAGTTGATAACCTCTTGTAGCTGCGGATATGAAACGGTGGTGCGATTTGGGGAGAGTCAGTGTTGGAGGTTGAGGGTTTCACGGCAGGAGAAAAGGGCGGCGCCGATTTGGTTTGTAGGAGCCGAAGCTTTAGGGTTAGGGTTTCACGTTTGGGGATTGGGGATGCGCCGTTTGTGCGTTTCAAAGATGATGAACAGTATCAGAAATTCGGGTCCCCCCCAATCAATTACTCCTCCCTCCTTTTAACCGTGTGAACCGTATGACCTTCCTTAATGGGCCTAATACAATGGGTCTTCAGTCCTAACTCAACTTTCTCTTTTTTCTCTTAATTATTTTCTTTCTTGTTTTCAAATAATTAACTCTATTAATTACTAATTAATATTAACACATATAACAACTAATAAATAGATACTAACAAACACTAATTAAATAAATATTAAAAAGTATATAAAAATAGGATAAGATTTATAAAAACAAAAAACAAAAAAAAATAATTAAAAAATATATACATATGTTATTAGTAACACCAAAAAGGAAAAAAAAGTCTAAGAAAATAAAATTTACAAAAATGGTTGTTAGGCCACGTGTCACGCCTTAAAGGGTCATAAAGATAAATCTCTAAAAAATCGATCAATTGCGAGCGGACACGTGTCTAAATAACAAAAAAAAAGGCAGACAACGTAAAATAGAAAATAAAATCGAAAAGTGAAAATATTAAAAAAAGGTAGGACAAATTTAGGGTATGACAGGTAGTCAACTGTAACCAAGAAGATAGAAGTGATGGCAATGCTTTGAATGTAAATTTTGAAGACTCAGAGAATGACATAGGTATTAATAGAGAGATAGAAATTTATGAGGATGAAGTGAATGTAACAAGTAAATTGAAGGGAAAAGGCAATGTAAAAAACCATTGGAAAGGTAAGGGGAAAGGGAAAGGGAAAGGGAAAGGTAAAGGGAAACGGAAGGGGAAAGGGAAAAAGAAAGGAAAGGAAAAGGTCATTGTTAGGGATGTAGGTGAAGATAATGATGGTGAGGTAAATATGAACAACTTGAGAGGTTTAGGTGACATAGAGGAGTATGACAGTGATAAAATGCCTACTGAGTATGACAATGAGAATGATGAGGTTGTAAAGGATAATTTTGTGACCTTTAAGCTTCCAAAAATAATAGAAGACTACAATTGGGAACTTGGTACATTTTTTTCTACAAAGGGGGTGTTTCAAGAGGCAATAAGAACATATGCCATTCATGAAGGAACTTGAAATTTACCAAAAATGATAAGGCAAGAATGAGAGTTAAATGTAAGGCAGGTTGCCCATGGGAGGCTTCCTATGCAAATATTAAAGATCAGGAGACTTGGAAATTGAGGACAATTATGGACAAGAATTCTTATAGTAGGGATTATAAGATTAGGTTCCTCAATTAAAAATGGTTAGGCAAGAAGATTCAAACAAGTGTTAGAGAGAATCTAGCTTTGAAGTTGGCTGATATTATGGAGAATACACATGAAAAGTGGAATATTGAGATTAACAAGACATTGGCATATAGAGCTAAAACACTAAATGTTGATATTGTGGATGGTTCTTTTAAAGAGCAGTATAGAAGAATTCATAATTATGACCATGAACTATTTAGGGCAAACCCAGGATCAACTATGAAGATTACAAGTCAGCCACCAGTTCAAGGGGAAAGCAGTGAAAACTCTACTCAATTGAATCCTCACTTTCAAAGGACATATGTTTGTCTCAAAGCTTACAAGGACAGTTTTTTCAAATGCATACCTATTATAGGATTAGATGGGTTCTTCTTAAAGGGATATTATGGAGGATAAATACTAGCTGCTATTGGTAGGGACCCAAATAACCAAATGCTTCCAATTGCATATGATGTTGTTGAGGGTGAAACTAAAGACTCATGAAGCTGGTTTCTAGAGTTATTGATACCTGATTTGGGAGGAGTCAGGTTGTGCAAAACATATACCTTCATTAGTGATCAACAAAAGGTTAGTTTTTAAACTCTCACCTTGAAATGTAACTGTTAGCCAATTGTTTTATTTTCACCATCATTCTTACTTATTTATGGATGCAGGGTTTGCTGCCAGCTCTTAATGAATTACTTGGCAATGTTGACTAAAGATTTTGTGTTAGGTAATGTTTACTTTCACCTTTGTAACTTACATATTGAATATGACATACTTGGTAATGTTTACACTTACTTTATATTGCAAACATTTGTATAGTAACTTCAGGAAAAAGTTCCCTGGCCTGAAATTAAAGGACTTGATGTGGAGGGCTGCATGTGCAAGTTATGTTAATGCTTAAGAGAAAACAATGCTTGAAATCAAAGGAGTTAATAAAGAGGTCTTCAAACACCTCATCAAAATTCCACCAAGATTCTGGAGCAAATCAAGGTTCCAGCCAAGTTCAGGTTGTGACACTTTGGTTAACAATATGTCTGAGGCACTCAATTATGTATTTGTGGCTGCTAAATCCAAGCCCATTGTGACAATGCTGGAAGAAATTAGAGTATACATAATATAGATATGGGAATCCAATAGGTAAAATATCACCAAATATGATGGCATCATACTACTTAACATCAAGAAGAGGATGGAAAGGGAGTCACAAAAAACCAAGTATTGGATTGTGAGCTAACATTACTTTCAAATGGCCAACTGTTTATATTGACTATCATTGCTAATGTTTATTTGTTTACAGGTGTGCAGGTGAATATGACTATGAGGTGAGGCATATTACCACTCAATGGAGAAAAATATGATGTCAACCTTTACAAGAAAGAATGCTCATTTAGATTATGGATGTTGATTGGACTTCCTTGCTATCATGAAATGTCTTGCACGAAAAATCAACATTTGAAGATTGATGACTTTGTACCTGACTGTTACAAGAAGGAACAATATGTTGCTTGCTATGCGCATGTGATATATCCACTTAATGGGGAAGCATTATAGGCAAATTCTAGTGTTGTTGATCTTCAGCCACCACCAATAAAGAGGTAGCCTAGAAGGCCAAAGAAAAAAAGAAATAGCGAAGTTGGAGAGATGGTAAGGGATGAGACACACATAAAGAGGGAAATACATGGTATAAAGTGTAGTCGGTGCCACAAGGATGGTCACAACTAGGCCACTTATAAACTACCACAACCACAAGCTAATTCAAGTCAGGTACAAGATGCAACTAGTCAGCAACCATCATAAGCTAATACAAGTCAATCACCACCTACTGCAACAAGTCAACCACCACCACCTGTTGCGACAAGTCAGCCACCACCATAATTTGTTACACATCAACCACCACCACCTGTTGTTACAAGTCAGCCACCACCCAAAACTAAGAAAAAACTTCATAAGGGTGGCAAGCCTATTTCAAGCCAACCATGACCAATATTATTATGTTTACTAGGATTTTGTAATTCCAATTAATGGTCTGACTCTTTTGTTTTTTTAATGGCCTTTTGGTTTTGAACCTGTTATGTAATACCTTACAAAGGCCTTTTGGTATATGAACCTGTTATGTATCGCCTTTTAATGGCCTTTTGGTTTTGAACCTGTTATGTAATGCCTTACAATGACCTTTTGGTATATGAACCTGCTATGTATTGCCTTTTAATGGCCTTTTGGTTTTGAACCTGTTATGTAATGTCTTACAATGGCCTTTTGGTATTTGAACATGTTATGTATTGCCTTATAATTTCCTTGTTTTATTGAACCTGTTGTGTATCAAATATTGAATCTATTATTGAATGTTGGAATGGTTATTGAACCTGTTATGTATCAAACTTTGAAACATGTTTTTGAACCTGTTATGTATCAAACATGTTATTGAATTTGTTATGTATCAAAACATTTTTATTGAACCTGTTAAGAAACATTATTCAATGGGCTGCATATTTTACAGGTTGGATATTGAGACATTATTCAATGAACATGTTATGTATCAAACATATTTGAACAACTTATATTATAGTTTTTTTCCACAAATATTGGTCAATGGACTGCATATTTTACAGGTTGGATATTGAGACATTATTCAATGAAAATGTGAAAACAGAACACAAATATTATTCATTGAAACAACATAACCGAATATTATTCATTAAGCAAACTCATCAATTTGTTACAACATAACATTACATTATTACAAACATAAAAACATAACTTAGAACTACCCTAAAACTAATTGAGATACATTGTTACAAACACAAGGTTCAATCCTAAGCTTACAATCCCAACAACAATGGACATTTTAAGCCACCCTCGAGTGTACATAACTTCATTCTTCAATCTGTTAATTTTCTTCTTTTGTCTTTCAAGCTTCAAATCCCTTTCATCAAGAAACTCATCACCCAACCACTTGAAGAAATTACAACCCTTTTCAATGTGGTTTCTATAATTTCTACAACCCCAGAATTTTCTCCCCTTATTGACACTATTAACATCATTCGCTGTTCTAAGAACACTTTCATCTTGGCAAAAGCACTCGATCATCTTGTTTTTATGAATCAAAGACCCAGATGTACCATAGTTATGGTAGCTTGAAGTTGACGCATTGCTTTCACTCTTTGACATTGCTTCAACCCTAATTCTCAAATTGCAGAAGAAACTGGAAGATAGTAGAAGAAAATTGGAAGAAAGAGATTTACCTGAAGATGAAGATGGAATAGGTTGAAATATAGAACACAAATGAAGAAGAATGGTGGAAGAAGAATGAAGCAACAACAATGAAATATGGAATCCTATGTAAGGCAACGTATACATATGCTGATGTGAAATCTTACTTGGCATACCACCTCACATAAACTAACGTTTTTTGTCACAAACTTACAGAAGGGACTAAAGTGTTTAACGAAACTTAAAGTAAAGGATCAATATGTAACGTTTTTTAGTTCAGGGACCAAAGTGAAACTTCGCTTAAAGTTAAGGGACCCAGTGACTAATTATGTCTTATTTTAATTAGTATTCTTTTGTGGTGATTTTCTCAATTGTCTCATTTTGACTTTAATTAATGATTGTATCATATATTGTACATTTTCGTTTCTCCTTTAGTCTAATTTTTATTAGTCTTTACTTTATTAGATTCATAAATATCATTAAAATGTCTACAAATTTTTTATGTTGAAATTAATAATTTAATATGACTGATGTATCTTAGTTTAGACTTTTTTTTTTTAAATATTGCATGTAACAATTTGGCTTATTAAATAAATTAAATAAAAAAACCTCATATTTACAAATAAATAAAAATGATAAAAATAAAAATAAAAACATTAAACTTCATCATAGTTAATTAGTTCTAGTTAATCTATACCTATATATAAAGGGAAAACATGACTTTGGTGTAGCTTTTTTCTTCCGAATATACCCTTTACAGTTTTTATTTTAAACTTTAACTTCTCTTTCTAACACATGGAAGTTATGTGACGGTTTATTAATTTTTATACCATTAATTACACAATAAATTTCATTGAACTATTACTATCATCTTTTGCATAACTTCTTACTAATAACTTCCTACATAACTTTCACTTACATTAAGATTAAATAAAAAATATAATTTATATTTTAACGTGTGTGCATTAAAAAGAGGACAGACGGACACGTGAGTGTCTGTCCGGATGCTAGTTTATTTAATGTTATTAGGTTAGTCAATTTTGTTTAGATAATTTTAAAACACAAAATATAAAAATGTTTGATGCATTTTGTTTATTTAAATAAAAAATAAACCAAAAAATAAAAAATAAAGTTTTTCATTCATGGCCTTGTACATAATCAAATTATTTTCTAAATTAAACTAAATAATCATAACTCCTTTTATAAAAAATTGAATGAAAAAACATCTTGAATGTATATTCTTCTAGGTTTCCAATAGTTCGAATGCAATTCATATTGCTTGGTCAGTCGAATGTTCGTCGTCCACCGTTGAAAACAACATTCACTCATCAAACAACTTTTTCCCTTATGCATCCAAAACAACTTCTTCATAAAAGAATAGTCTGTTCTATTTAACTTGAATACCAACAACGCCTAAGTCTCCATTGTGTGAGCATACATGCATACTTTTAACCGCTAAAATAAGATATAATATTATTCTCTAAAATCAATCAATCCATAAATATTATTTCTAGGAACTACGATACTCTGATTTTCACACTGCACTTTGAGAATATGTAAGCACAAGATTTTGAAACCTTGGCAAGCACAATAATTATAAAAAAAATATTTCTTTTGTAATTAACTCTTTTTGTAAATAATCTTTAATAAATAAATAAAATAAAATAAACATTCCTTTTAACAAACCATTTGACCCTTATAACTATAGGAGGTTCCCATTGAGTTGAACATATGTGAGAGGTGCTAATACATTTCCCTCACACAACCGACTTCCGAACTCATACTTGGTTGCGATGACCATGTTATCCCTTTTTCTTTTTCTTAGGATTTTATAGTTATTTCCTTTTTTCTTAGGAATAAATAAAATTCGATAGCGACTCTGTTAGTCATCGTCGAGCATGTGATTCCCTTCACGAGGTCGTATTTTTGAGATGTGACACTAACTTAGAGTAATTTGTTGGTTTAACTAATCATATTAAACATGGGATATTGTAATTTGGTAATAACACCATATTCATAGGGCAAGACGGTGTATGGAGTCTAAAGCAGTATTTAGGGATTTTTGAAATGATATATGGCATAAGAGTACATTTTTACAAAATTAAGTTGTATGGCATACATGTAGGGGAACATTTTAAAGTAACCTCTAAATTCCTATCTTGCTATTCGGAATAAATGATGGATATGAGATTGATGTAAGGAAGATATCCCTAGAGGAAAGGGATGCAAGGTTGATTGAAGATTATCCCGCTCTTTTGAGTTTGACTTCCTTTTGTGATCAATCATAGATATGAGTGTGTTAGCATGTGTTTGGATTTAGGAAAGATTTATCCTAAATTGGTTTTTAGAAAAAAATTGCATTTGGTGTTCTGATTTTTCGAAATTTTAATCAATCAAGGATCTTAATCATCATATTGAAAATTTGATTGACTATACACATTTTTGGTTTAAAGAAATATTTGATCTGAACCAAATCCAAGGGATTGAATTTGTTATAATCAAGAGATTTAAATTTATTTTAAATTTGATCAATCAAGATTTTCAATCAACATTATTGAAGATTGATCTCATGCGCAAGAAAACAAAATCAAAATTATTTTAAAAAATGATTTTATTTTTGTGTGAAAATATAATAATTAAAAAATTAATTTTTATTGCAATTGAAAAAATAAAAATAAAAAACTTAAAATGAGTTTCTATTGTTTTAAAATTCAATCAACTCAAGAATTTTGCCAATCTAATAAGAATATAAACTGAACAAAAAAATATATATTAAGTATCAAATACTATCATTAAAATGTCTATTATAAATTACAATGATAGTGTGGAGGAATTATATGAGAATTTTTTTATCATCTATTTCAATAATCTATAACATTATTAATTTTATAACCTATTTATATAGATAATCTACATTATTATTAATCTTATGATCTTTTTTTTTTTTAAATAGGAAAATTTATTCGAGTATTTTATGTTAGGCTTAATTATGATAAAAATTTGTAAAACTGTTCATTATTAACATTAAAATTTTAAGTTTTTGTTGAATATATACAAGTGTCGGTTAAAGTCTATAAATTACAATTTGTCATAGTTTCTTAAGAGTTGATCATCCATGCTACATTACAATAAATAATAAGAGTGTATGTAGATAATATAAGAGATTGTAGGCATAGAAGACAAAAAAAAATTAATTTTTTAACTCATTTTAATTAAAATGTTCTGTTCTGTTTAATAACTATCATTTTAATTTTTAAGTTTGTTTTAAAAATTATTTAAAGTAGTTTTTGAACTTCTAACTTTTAGCTTATAACCTTTTATTTCAATTATATTCTTATTTTATATATATATATATATATATATATATATATATATATATATATATATATATATATATATATATATATATATATATATATATATATATATATATATATATAATTACAAAATTAATTTTAAAAGATTGAATTTATAAAGATTTTGAAGAATGATATAGTAAAATTTTACTATTTTTTCTACTTTTATTTTCATTTATTAAATATAAATTATATAATTAATTTATAAATAGTGTTGATAATTTTTAATTAGTGAAACATCATAAAAGAATCAATGAAATTATAAAGGGTGGAAAAAATTTAGAGTTTTAGTCTAAAATATTAAACAATAAATTTTTTTTTAATATAACTAAATTCAAATTTATAATATTATTATTGTACGTATTTTATTAAATTTTATTATAAAATTATGAAGAAAAAGTCTATATTTTACGAAAGAATGAGTTAATTAAACCAAAAATTGTAGTTATTAAAATTATTTTTACTTTTATGTCTTCATAAATTATTTTATGAAATACTCATACTTCATGTATGGTTTGTTGGTTTTTTTATTCATTGAATTTTGTTGTCAATATATTTATAATAAATAGCAAAACTCATCAAATTTATATACAAATTTATATATTTTGATGATATATTTAATTTTTATATATATTAAAATTATTTTGTATGTTGTTATTAATATATTTACTTTTATCAAATAAAAATTAATTTAATACTATAATATAATAAAATAATGAAATTACTAATTTCTTAATTAAAATTGTTCTATTAGGTCATTTTCTAATTATCAGATAGTGTAACAGTTAATTTATCAAACACTCAAATTAATTTATCAACCATCAGATATAAAATATAAGTTATAAGCTATCAGCTATCAATTATAAACTAATTTTAGCAAACTGAACCGTAATATTTGAGACTGAGAATCTACACGTTACATAATTGAAGTTAACTAAAAACATAATCTTGTTCAATATAATCTTTCTAGGACATGATTTAAAATAAAATAAAAATATTAAATAAATATTGTGATTTAAAAAACTTTAAAATAATATAATATACATAAGAAACACTGAACAAACAAATAGTGTAAAAAAAATCGATCTATAATCTATTATATTTTTATTCGTTAAATTGAGAGACATCGTATCAACATTTATATGAGTTGTCATTTCATCATTTAGATTTCAATTAATAATAATATAAGTCACATCATATCTATTAACACCATATATGTTTTTTTTATTTATAAATTCAATCTAAATTAAATGAGAAAATTATAATAGTGAAAGGAAAAAATCTCACCAAATATAAATTAATTAGGAGAATTTAAAATCAAGGAGGTCATGCGGTAATGTCTTAAGTTTTCTAATTTGTCTGCGCGTAAATTTCATTCTCTCTAAGTTACAATTTAACCAATTGTTTTTAACACTCTTGAGACTTTTAGGGTCTGTTTGGTTAGGGGGTTTTGGAGGGGAGGGGAGGAGAGGAGAGAGAATATTTTAAAATAAGTGTGTTTGATTCAATTTTTTATGACAGGAGAGGAGGGGATTGGAGGTAATCAAAATCTCTCCTGGAACATTTTGTTGGTTCCCTCTAAATTGGAGGTTTTCGGAGGAG